CTCACTTCTGTGGATTGGCTCTCAGCCAAACAGCAGAAAGACCTTCAAGCAGAACATCTACCTTAGGGAGATGTATCCACCTACCCTAGGGAGATGCACCCTTCAGATCAATCAACCATAAGACATCAGAAGGGCAGCATCCCTATAGGGGGAAATCTGGACACACAGGAATGCACAGATAAGAAAAGCACAGGGAAGGGGTAGTCACAGGGAAAAGATGGGAGGAGGGCTTTTTGTGGTTGAGCACTGTAATCGGACTATGAAACCAAATGTGCACGAAATGTTGAAAGTAAAACAACTGCTTTGTAAATCTGCACCCAAAGCACAATAAAAATTAAAAAAAGAAAAAAGAATATGTACACTATTTTGAGGATTCAAAATACTACCTATAAAATAATGAGGCCATATGCTGAAAGAATAGAAAACATTTTGCATGCTTGAAAAAGCAAAGCTCATTACCCCTTGTACCTGAGGTAGAGTCCTTCACCACTCTCTACTACCTGTTAAACAAGTATCTGCTAAAAATGGAGGGAAGAATAGCATGAGTCAGTAAACTGTCAGCTTCTCACCAACTAACTGTCACTGCTGTAGGCCTCAGGGGGAGTCCTCATCTGCCAGGGAGCTAGCCACTTAGGGGAGGGAGAAAGCTGAAGTGAGAAGGGCTACGGTTAATAAGCCACTAACTTATTTTAGTATGAACATTGAAGTATTAGATACCAGCATATGATAAAACTCTTAACAGGTTGATTCTGATAAGGAAAAGAAATTCGAGGAGTTTTCTCTAATAAGTAAATTATTAATATAACTTAGGAAAGGAAAATTATAGGCCTATCTTACTTTGAGCACAGATGCACAAATCTTAAGCATATATGTGGACACTTTACAGAAGGAGGAGCAAAGAAAGATTTCTCAATAACTGGCACTAAGTCAAGTGTTTATCCATATGGGAAATTTTTTTTTTTTTAAATCTGAACCCCTACCTCAAACCATTTACAAAAAATAATTCCAGATGGACTAAAGATATGTGAATAAAACTTCAAGACGATAACACAGAAAAATGTTTTCCTCTTCTTTTTTCTTTTTGGTAAAATAATATTTTCATGCTGCTAGGTTAAGCAAAGATTTCTTAAACAAGGTACATAAATGCCTAGTTGTGATTGAGAACTACATTAAAAGTAATAACTTCATGATGTCAAAAGACATCACCCAAGACATAAAAAGGCAAGTGGGAGATGATATTTGAAACATAAATTTAGCTAACAATGGTCTTAACATCCTGAATACATAAAGAACTCCTAGAAAACAATGGGAAGAAAAAAAAAAGACAACCCAATTTTAAAAACTAGACAAAAAACCTGAGAAGATATTTCACAAAAGAACATAGCCCAATGGTTGATAAACATTATGAAATGATGTTCATCTTTATTTGTAATCAGAAAAATGTAGATTACACTCACAATAAAACTACAACATACTCACTCAAAAAAAAACAAACCAAAGTCACTCCATTGAGTCATTTTAACTCACAGAGACCCCAATAGGGTATCCAAGGCTATAAATCTTTACAGAAGCACACTGCCTCATCTTTGTTCCTCAGAGCTGCTGGTGGGTTCAAACCACCAACCTTGTGGTTGGCACCCAAATGCTTTAACCACTGTACCACCAGAGCTCCTACTCACTAGAAACCTCAAATTAATAAGCATGTGTAAAAATGGTGCTGCGGCCACAGACCTCCTTGTCTAACTTCACTAGAAGGAGGAGAGAGAATCAAGATCACCATCACTCCAAGGCCAACTTCTAAGAGGTAGATATTAAACATAACTCCACCCTCCAACCTTTTTACCAATTCATTTTACCAGCCTTCCTTCCTATGACACTCTACATCTCTGCTGGGTTCCATGCTTCATTGCAATGGCCACACAAAATTCACAGACAATGATGATGATTATGTGGTTTATTTGGGAAGTAACAGGTTATAATTCAGAATTAGGAACAGCTCAGGATAGTTCTTTGATTAGGACAGCTTCTCAGCCATGCCCACAAGTAGGCCTCTCTCTGGTCCCTAGCCTCTATCTCTGCTCTGCTCAGGCAAGTGTTACAAAGCTCTTTAGCACTGCCATTAAGTGCCTGGAGGGACCCTGCCCCACCAGAAAGCCTCAGCCCAAAGGTATTCATCTCATTCTCTCTCTGTAGGTTGGTGAGTATAGCTCTATCAAGTGCCTGGAGCCACCCTACTCTGCTAACAAGCCTCCCGCATGAAGGCAATCAGCTCTCTTGCTCCATGGATCAGCACGCTGCCACTCAAAGGACTGGGAAACACACTGTGCTGTCAGCACTGGTCTCCCAGTTCTGCTGCCGCCGTTTCTCTGCTGCCACTTCTCGCCACCTGTGGTGTTACAGCTTTCTGTCTCCTGAGTCTAGGAGGTTCTCAGTGTAGTGACACCATGTCCACTGGACACACTCTATTCCCAATTCTTCTTTCTTGATGGTAGTGAGGGCTCCCTCTTTCTGGTCTGGGATGGCTCATTTTAAGCCTAGTAGGTTAGTATAATTGACCAATCCCCTCATTAGTGTTCCAAACACCTTATTTGCATGGTGCCACACCCACAGGGGTGTCATGCACTTTATTTGCATTATTAGCAAGCTGTTCAATCTCTGTTTAGGACCATACCTTATTTTTACAGTTCCACCCAACCATTTGGTGGAAATGACAAGATATGGCAAAAAAGGGCATATAAAAGTGATCCTTTGCACAGCAGCATGAGAGTAATAAAACCAAGTATCAGTAAAAGTGTAGAATAATGTGAACTTGAAAACAGCACCTATGTAAATATAAATGGGCACCAAGTCTTGACAACTGTTTGATGTATCAAAGGTGAGCACATACATACCATTTAACCCAACAATTCTACTCTTAGATATATTTCAAAAGAATAATTATGTGCATCAAAAAAATACACACAAGAATGCTTCTAGCAACATTAGTCATAAAAGTTAAAAACTGGAAACAGACCACACATCTATCAACAAAGTCTGATCTAGTCATATAATGGAGAACTAACTATATGACAATGAAAATAAACAACTACAACTGGATCCAAGCCCTTAAAATGATAATGTTGACTGAAAGAACCCAGTCCCAAAAAGAGTACATATCCTACTTACATAAAATTCAAAAACAGGTAAAATTAAAATTATGTGTTAGAAGTCAGAACTGCGGTTACCTCTGGGAAAGGAGCAAAAGGTAAGGACTGAAAGAGGGTATGGAAAGATTTCTAGGATATTATGAAATTCTATTTCATAACATATACAGTACACATGTAAGTGTATTCACTTTGTGATAACTTATAGAGCTGTATACTTATGATTTATATACTTTCTGTATGGGTGTCATACTTCAATTAAAAACAAAAAATACTTTAATAAAAAACTAAAATTAAAAGCTAAAATACATAATGTACATATATACATGCACAAACACCTTCATACACACACACACACAAAATCACTCCTTTCATCAAATGAAATAATGCACAATTTACTAAAATGAAGTGTCTGTTAGCCCTCAAAGCAGAAAGTGAATAAATGAACAAGTACACAAACTGCCTACTTATAGGACAATCTTGTTATCAGAAAATAATTAGTACTATAAAAAATCTACATAAGAGAAATAACCAGATATTATGAGACTCCTGATAAAAAGAACTCAGCACCACCACCATTTATAAAGAAGTCTTGCACACCTCCCCTAACCCCTTAAATAAAAAATTGCAATCAAGCCTCTAGATCCAATTACCTATTTACAGGATATAATGAGAAGAACAAAGACAGAAGTAAACAAACAAAAAAAACAAACCCATCACTGTCAAGTCAATTCTGACTCATAGCAACCCCATGGTAGACCATAATCACAGGAAAAAAATCAGCAAGTTCTTTCTAGAATGTGGGAAACTTTACAGGATAAACTACCAGGCATATTCAACAAATAAAACGCAAGGGGGGAAAAAGTATGTTGGGGAACATAAAGATTTATAAAACATATCAATTACTTGATATAGAGACTTTATTTGGATCTTGACTCAAGCAAACTGTTAAAAATACATACATACATACCACATTCATAAAACAGCTAGAAATCTGAACTCTAATGGAATATATGGTATAAAATTACATTAAATTTTTTAAGAATTTATAATGGTATTGTGTGATTGTAAATAAAAAAAATTCTTCTTTTAGAAATATACTGAAATATTTTTCAGATGAAATGTTATGATGCCTTAGATTTGCTTCAAAATAATAAAGGAAAAAGGTAAGTAGTTGAGCATATAGCTAATACAAAACTGGCTCTGAGTTGGTAATTGCTAAAGCTGGGTAATGGATACATGGAGGGCCTTCCTTACACTATTCCATCTTCTGCGTATGTTTGAAATATTCCATAATTAAAGTTAAAAACAAAAAATTTTTTTAGTGAATCTCCTTAAAACGGGGATTAAAATTTTACTGCAAAAAGTTGGTTTAACTAGTAAAATATAAACTCTGAGAAGTATTAAGATCCTTTGAAAAAAACATTTTGGTACTAGAAGCTTTTCAACAAGATGTGTCACCCAGTATCTTGTATAGTACATTTCAACAGTAGGACTGACTTCAAAAAAATACTTGCTTAATGAATGGATAATAATTTTTTTTTTTTTTTTACCAAAACCTCACTCAAGCATTTTTCAAATAATGACTATTACCTCCTGGTATCAAAAGACAGATAGCTGACAATGCTATTTAATTACATATTAAATAATACATATGTAATAAATAAAAAGAATAACAAAGAAACAGATCGTAAGAACGTTTTTAATGGCAATAACCTACATATTCTTCTATAGCTTTGAATTTTGAAACATTTCAAAATTGAATCTACTTAAAGAAGATTTAAAGTACTATTTTAAAATAATTTGAAATTTAAAAATTTTAAAACAATGGCAAAAAATGCGTTCAGCAAGACTTACCTAGCAGGGGGAATTCCTCTCTTATAAAGGTCCACCCTCACTTTCTCTCCCACATGTCTATAAATCTCTACTATGGCCAATACTGCAGCATCTCTCACCTGTAAAAGATTTCACAGCTTTTTTCAAAACTTGTATTTGATTCAATACAATATTTCATCTCAAGGCAACATTACAACTAGCAGGCTCTTTACCAATCTGAAGCTCCAAGTTGATTTTATTGCCTCAAAGCCCCTTTGAGACTATTATGGTAGGTTATTAGCAAAAAACCTAGAGAATCTGCCAAGAAACTTGTATAGAAAATCCATGTGAAAGTTTTTTTTTTTAAAGAAATCTGCAATTAAAAGTTACTAATTTTGCCTTTAAAAATCTCCAAGTTATAATAACATTATGTTAAAAAAAAAATGACCATTAATTATATGAACACAAATTATTATTAAGGTTAACACATTTTCTAAAAATAAAACTGCCCAAGAAAGAGTAGCCTTATTGTTGTTGTTGTTATGTGCCGTGGAATCGGTCCCGACTCATAGCGACCCCTCCTTGGGTTTCCGAGGCGGTAGAAGTAGGATTGCCCAACCTTCCTTCCAAGGAGTGGCTGATGGGTTTGAACTGCCAGCCTTCTGGTTAGCAGTCAAGTGTCTTAGGCACTATGCTACCAGAGCTCCTGCTTTTCAAGAAAGTAGCCTAAAAACAGGAATTTGGAAGATCGCTCTGGTCTCCTAGGCATAGCTCACTGTCAAAGAACAACTGGAGAGATAACAGAACTCTCCCTTTACAAACCTGAGCAGGAGCGAGGGCATGAAAGAGAAAATCTTGCCCAAGGTACATTCTAAGTGCCCAAGCTGTGCCAAAAAACTTCCAGCCAGTCAAGAGGGATAAGGTCTAGAATATATCCCTGTAATTCTGCCCACAGTGTATGCAGCTCAGATAAAGGTTTCTAACAGCTGATGTAGCATTGGCACATATCCCCTGTTAAACAAGGTTATGACTGCTGCAAGCAGTAGCCACTTACTAGAAATAAAGAAAGGAAATGGATAACCCTCTCCCCAAAATCAGTACGTAGGAGACTATAGAAATGAATCCAGGATCTTTGTGAGTCCTGTCTCTAAAACTTAATAACTAGCCATTAAATCTTATCTACCATTAACACTAGCCAAATATCTGACAATTAAGCAATTTATGGGACTACAATATTTTTTTAAATTACTTTGGTAGATTTAAAAAAAAAAAAAGAGGTAAGAGCACTAGAAAAGAAAGGAAGACCCAAAAAGTCAATCCTTAAATGGAAACAAATTTTTTACCTGACTGTTGGAATCTCCAAATAGGACGCACAAATGTGGTACCAACTTGCTGAGAACTAATGGCTGAGCCCCAAAACTAAAAATATTGAGGGAAAAAAACACTGGTTTTAATCAAGCAGCAAACCAATATATCCTTATTTTTTTCTTATCTCTATCAAAACAAATTTTATGGTAGAGAGCATGTTGTTGTTGTTATGTGCTGTCGAGTTGGCCCCAACTCATAGCGACCCCTCCTTGGGTTTCCGAGGCAGTATCACTGCAGAAGTAGGACTGCCTAACCTTCCTTCCAAGGACTGGCTGTTGGGTTTGAACGACCAGCCTTCTGGTTAGCAGTCAAGTGCCTTAGGCACTATGCTACCAGAGCTCCTAGAGAGCATGAGTACTATTAAAATCAAAAGACATGAGACACAAGCAAAAAATAATTCTAAACAATGTGAAATACACAAACTTAAATAATAGCTGACACTGAAAACTGTCAACACAAGATCTAACAGCGCACAATGTTCAGCTTTATATAAAGAGAATGGTACACTTAACCCTAGTTACCTACCAATCACCTATCTTCAAGAAGAAAATCAGTTTGCTTTTGAAATAGTGATTTTTTTTCTTTTTTTTAAGATTCTGTTGTTGTTGTTATGTGCCGTCGAGTCAGCCCTGACTCATCTAGGTCTCACATAAATGTTCACTCTAATGACATAAGATATTAAATTTAAAAAAAAAAAAAAAACCTCACTGCCATCGAGTCGGATCCAACTCATAGTGACCCCTCCTTGGGTCTCCAAGGCTGTATCACTATGGAAGTAGATTGCCCAACCTTCCTTCCGAGGAGTGGCTGGTGGGTTTGAACCTCCAGCCTTCTGGTTAGCAGTCAAATGCCTTAGGCACTACGCCACCAGAGCTCCCTAAAGAAAACAAGCACTTTATGTATCTTTATATAAAATATCTTTATTATACTTATTAATATTTTGATGAGGTTATGGCTGAAAGTAAATGACAAGTGTATCAAAAACCATGAAAGTTGAGCAGAATGTACTCACAAATTCTAAATGGCAGAAAGGACCATAGAAGAGAAAATAAAACAAATGAAGTATAGTTAGAGAAAAGGAAGCAATAGGAAAAATTGAAAGCTACTACTTATGACCTATGATGTAGCACATAGCACAGAACCTATAAAAAATAATCTAGAATGAAAACAAAAGTCCCCAACTTACTATTTCTTCAGATTAGCAGACCTGAGCTCTGTGGCATCTACACAGTCAGAGCTCTGAACACAGATAACAGATCCAGTATCTAGTTACCTGGCAGAGTCTTGTTTGGATTTTGGTAGCCACCCACACAAGGAAACCCACGGCTAACTGGTAAGACAAAGATAGAGACAGAAAGGTAGGGAGAGAGAAACAAAGAAAAAGAGAGAGAGAGAGAAAAAAACAAAGAACAATGGCTACAATATCTGAAATCCCACCGAGATTTCAAATCACTAGCACAGCAATGGATGCTATGTTATCAGAGTATCAGTTATATGGTCATCTATTTTGAATGGCTACTGTTAATATACCAAACTGAAAAAAGAAAATGCTTTTTATCACTGAATGAGAGTCTAAAATTAACAACATGAAAGATAACATAAAAAAAAATTAATAAAGGCATAAAATGCTAACTGTTGTGCTGGAATTCAATTAATAAATATTTAATTTTTTCATAACTATTTCCACAGCTTTCCTTGAGCTTTGCTGTATGGATTTTTTTTTTTTTTTTTTAACAAAAAGCAAAAAACCTAAGAAGGCTGTTTCAAGTAATCAGTAAACTTACATGTTTAAGGTTTCAATAAGACACAGACAGATGCCTTCTCGTGACCGAAAATTCTTGTGCTTAAAACCAGAAGCCAACTGCTCCCAAATGTACTATTTGAAAGAAAAGTAAACATGTATAACAAAAAATTAGATTACTCATGGTGTATTTCTTTCCAACTTTATAACTAATCTATTACCATCCTTACTGGTAAGTGAATTTTCTTACCACACTTCTCTGCTCTGTATAAACTGTTTTTCTAGCCAAATTTGTACTGCAGTTGCTCTCACCCATTTTTTAATATCTTAATCTTGTGTCTAGTTTTTATTTATATATACTTTTACTTATTCTCCAAAAAACCATGTCTAATACCTAAAAATCTTAAAATTGTCAAGGATATAGGATTTTTTCTAAGCTTTTGAAATTGTCAACAACAATGGTGCCATTATAAGCTCAGTAGTCCAGTAAGCACTTAAGATGTCCAATTATTTCCTAGCAACTGCTAAAGATGTCACAGAACAGGCTTTTTTGACATTTTTGTAATTCAGTCTATTCTCCTTTTAATACTGGATTCAAATACAGAACAATATTTGAGAAAGTCATTTCATGGCAAACTACTACTACAATTTTCTTTTAGAATAAGCAATTATAAAGACATAAAAATAATCTTAAACAAGTATATGAGTTTGGTATAAGAAGAAATCCAACTTTAGTTTTCCAAACACATAGATAATTGTTCCAATCCACCCTTTCTCCACAATTGGAAACACCACCTTTACTGTTTATTAAAGTCACTTCTATCTATTACATGCCTCTTTCCGGATTTTCTATTCAATTCTGCTAATGTATTTCTCTCTTCCTGACAAATTTTTTGGAAGGTAACTTTGAAATTTATATAAAAACCTTACCTGTATATACCTGACTCAACTACACCATCTCCTGAACTATGTCTATAGAAAGATTTACATTTGTGTCCAAATATATATGTTCAAGGATGTTTCTTACAGTATTTTTTACAATAAAATAAAGTAAAAAGCACTTAAAGTATAAATCAATAAAGTGTAAAAGGATATCCACCAAACTACAAAGATTTAATTGTGAGGTATAGAGTATCTGGAAAGACAATTCACTTTTACAATTTAATACTATCTGGATTTTTTTTTTTTTTTACAAAATATTGTAATTCTGATACTGTATTTTAAATTTTATTATTATTATTGGATTATTATCATATATTCTGATTTTCTTTTTCCCCACTCAACATGAACTACTCTAGAAATCTTTGAATATCTATTTTTGCTCTGCCTTCAAAATACCTCTGTAAGGGCACAAATTATTCCTACTGTATTCATAAAACATAAGTCATTGTCATAGAATATATTACTTCTATAATTAGTAATTACTTGTTAAAATAAAAATGTTCTTCCTGTCTCCGTTGGAAAAATTAATAATATGAAACATTCAGAGTTCTCAAAATAAGCTTTCTTAATAAACATTTTATAACTTGCAGGTAAGGAAAACCAGAAAATACTAAAGTTATAACATAGTATATTGTGTCAAATCACTTAAAACTAAAGGCTAACTTTAAAAAAAAAAAAACAGCTCTGAAGAGTAGAGTAGAAAATAAGAAAAACTTAAATCTGACATTGATCATAAATTTCAATTTCTTCAAAGCATAAGCAACAATTCATTGTTTAACAAATTCAGCTATCATACCCTCTGGAACTTCACTGACAGGCTGTAATTACCAACTACCTTTATTGGTATTTCATCAATTAGCAAAACACAAATTTTAAAAGTTAGGCTTACCACAGGTGGTGCTACTTGATCCATCAACTTCAATATCAGAGTCACAGCTTCATCTCGAACCTTGTCTTTGGCATCTCCAATTCTGTCTATTAAAGCTACAGTAACTAGAGAGAAAGAGGGAAAAAGTGTAAATATTTACAAACTTATATCCATCACAAACTACATTTTACAAAATTACAAGTGGCAATTATTTCCATAAATGAAAAGTAGTTACAAGGTAAGCAAATCAATTGTTTTAAGTTTACTCAGGAGTCTGAGCAAAGAAAATAACCAAGCAGCAAGTTTCAGAAGACTACCTACAGGATGACTCCACTTATAATAATGTTCAAAACAACAGGCAAAATTAAATACTATTTTATTTAGCGATGCATGTAGATGGTCAATCTCTATGGACAAGCAAAGGAATGATTATCGTAAAGGTCAGGACAAGGGTTGCTTCTGGAAAAGAGGGGTAAGTTGTCATCAAGAAATACTAGAGGGGAGTTTCTAAGGATTTGGCTGAGTCCTATTTTCTTGATCTGGGCATGGTCAGAAGTTTGTCTTATAATAAATCTTTAAATCAAATTCATTTCCCACACAGCAGTTCATACACGTTTTCTCTCACGACACTGACTACAATTTCCCACAATGTAACAGCTCTCTTTTGACTTCCTCCCCATAGTTTCCTCTTCCCTATGTCCTTCCCTCCCATGCACTCCTGCTCAGCCCCCCAGCCAATTCCCTGTGCATACACTGCCCCTTTGTTCTCCCATGATTGATCTCTCCAAGGAGTGTGTCTATCTGATGTAAATGTTCAGCCCACATGCCATTCTTTCATTTCGCCAGAAGTCACAGGAAAAAATAAAAACCAAACTCACTTGACTGCCATCAAGTCGGATGCGACTCACAGTGACCCTTTCTTGGGTTTCTGAGGCAGTATCACTAGGGAAGTAGATGGCCCAACATTCCTTGTAAGGAATAGTGGATTTGAACCGATAGTCTTCTGGTTGGTAGTCAAATGCCTTAGGCACTACGCCACCAGAGCTCCCAGAAGCCACAGGAGTGAGTTCAGTTCCAGACCTGAAGAGCAGCTAGGGGCCATAGTCCTGGTTTCACCAAATACAGGTTTGGTTTTCTTCATTCTTCTTTGCTCTGGACAAGAGACCCATCGTTGCATCTAGATGGCAGCTTGCTAGCTTTTAAGATCCCAGTCGCTACTTGCCAAAGTAGGATGTGGAGCAATGTTTCTGTGTAGTATGTTATACCAATTGAGTTTGATGTCACCTGGGACCATGGTTCCAAGCCCACAGGTCCAACTACTTGCTCCCTCTGGGTAGCAGGCTGTGGCCAAGAAGTCACCACAACCTTGTCCCTTGTCAGTTCTACTATATACCTGGACTTTCTTACAGAACATACAAAAATGCCCGTAGAAACATCGTCTGCCAACCTTACATGTGGACATGGACACACTTCCCCCTGCCTAGACATACCTGATCATTCAGCCTGTTCACCATCGCTGACAACGCAGTACTGCACGTGCAAAAGAGTTCATCTTTGTCTGTTATCTCCCATGTACCTCTCTGTGTCCTCCTCTTTCTTAATGCCACTGTGTTAATCACTCACATTTGGTGCACTGTCCTTCCCTTCACCCAAATCAATACTTGTCTCTGGTGATGTAGTGCCACTGCTAACCAGAAGGCTGGTGGTTCAAATCCACCAGCCACTCCTCAGAAGGAAAGTTGGGCAATCTACTTCTGTAGTGATACTGCCTCGGAAAGTCACTATGAGTCACATAATGTGAGTTTGGTTTTGGTTTTTGGTACCTATCTAGCAGGGTTCCCTCTCCCCCGTCCACCCCTGGTAACTAACAAAGAAAGATTCATTCCATATATAAACCTTTCCTTGACTTTTCACAATAGTGGACTAATACAGTATTTGTCCTTCTGTGATTGACTTATATTTCACTCAGCATAATGTCCTCTAATTCATCCACGTTATGTGGTGTTTTGCAGATATTGTTATTCCTTACTGTTGCATAGTACTCCATTGTATGTGTGTGTACCACAGTCTGGTAATCCATTCTTCTGTTGATGGGCACCTAGGTTGTTTCCATCTTTCTGCCATTGTAAATTATACATTTTTGATATAGATTTTTTCCATACATATGACACATTCCACAATTAACAAACAAAAAGACTAGGTCCCTAGGGTTGAAGACATTCTCTAATACTTCCTAGACACTGGCACTACTCCATGCAGGAAAGACAGGTCAGAGTTCATTCTTGTAGAGTCTTCACAAACAAGGTTTCTGTAACTGTTAAGTGATCAATTCACCACAAAGGAATCACATCTTGTATTGGGGGAGATTTACAGGGAGGAGGAGGTAGAACTCAAAGGAGACAGGTTCTAAAGTCAGCTCAGAGGGCAAAATTTCTCAAAGTCAAAACTATCTTTCTATAATCCACTTAAAAGATGTCCTGAGGGCACAATGGTTGAGTGCTCAGCTCCTAATCAAAAGGCCAACCAGCAGTTCAAACCTACCAGTCACTCAGTAGGACAATGATATGGCATTCTGCTTCCATAAAGATTTACAGCCTTGGAAATGCGACAGGGCAGGCCTATAGGGTCCCTACAAGTCAGAATCAATTTGAAGGTACTGGGTTTGGAATCCAGTTACTGTTGTTAAGTGGCGTCGAGTCGTTTCCGACTCATAGCGACCCCATGCAAAGCAGAACAAAACACTGCCCGATCCCGCGCCAGCCCCACAATCCCTGCTATACTTGAGCCCATCATCACAGCCACCGTATCAATCCATCTCGTTGAAGGCCTCCCCCTCTTTCATCAACCCTCCACCCTACCAAGCATGACATCCTTCTCCAGGGAACGGTCCCTTCTTACAACATGACCAAAATAGGTGAGACGAAGTCTGGCCAATTAGTGTAGCGTTACTAAATACAAGTATACCAAACCAAAAACCAAACTCACTGCCATCGAGTCGTTTCTGACTCATAGCAACCCCTCTTTGGGTTTCCAAGATGGTATCACTGAAGAAGTAGATTGCCCAACCTTCATTCCGAAGAGTGGCTTGTTTGAATTGCCAGCCTTCTTGTTAGTTGTCAAATGTCTTAGGCACTATGTCACCAGAGCTCCCAAGTACAGGTATACATTGTTTTACTGTGCTTTACTTTACTGCACACAGATATAGCATTGTTAAAAAAAAAAAATAGAAGTTTGTGGCAACTTTGCATCGAGGGAGTCTATTGGTGTCATTTTTCCAACAGCATGTGCTCACCTCATGTCTGTGTGTCACATTTTGGTAATTCTCACAATATGTCAAATTTTTTCATAATGCTATTATACATTTAATGAACAGCACTACAGTGTAAACATAAAGGAGCTCTGGTAGCCCAGTTCCTAAGGCATCTGACTGCAAACCAGAAGGCTGGTGGTTCAAACCCACCAGCCACTCCACCAGCCCCAGGGTTACAGGTGAGGAGAGACAACTCAGGGACACCCAAAGTAGCAGGCAGGAAGAGCAGGAGAAAGGGGATTAAAAGCCAGGAAGCAAGAGAGAAGAGCAATCAGCCGAAGGGATTAGGTGAGGAGGGGAGACTCAGGCCCGCCCAGAGTAGCAGGCCAGAAGAGCAGGAGAAAGGGGATAAAAGCCAGGAACCCGGACAGAAGAGCAGTCAGCCCCAGGGTTACAAGTGAGGAGAGACAACTCAGGGATGCCCAGAGTAGCAGGTGGGAAGAGCAGGAGAAAGGGGATTAAAAGCTAGGAAGCCAGAGTGAAGCGCAATCAGCCGAAGGGATTAGGTGAGGAGAGGCAACTCAGGCCCGCCCGGGGTACCAGGCCAGAAGAGCAGTAGAAAGGGGATAAAAGCCAGGAACCTGGACAGAGGAGCAGTCAGCCCCAGGGACAACGCAGGGATGCCCAAAGCAGCAGGCCAGAAGAACAGGAGAAAGAGGATCAAAAGCCAGGAAGCCAGACAGAGGTACAGTCAGCCACAGGGACCCAGTTGGGGGTGATACAAGAGGTCTCCAACCACCAAGACAAACTTGTCTGTTGGTTTGTCCTACTGTGGTGACATGTAGACGTGAGTTTTGAGGCTGAGACTCTGGTGTTTAAAACCCAGAGAGATGCACCTGGTGCACAGGTAACAGCCCAGCTTATAGACTGAGACAGACTAGGAAGAAGGAAG